AAGGAAATAACCCAAGAAAGGTTACGCGGAGTATTGATACGAGAAAGGGCCAAGTAGTTAATAGTTGATTCAGGAAAAGCCTAATTATGGCTAGCCAAAGGAATATAGACAAATCAACAGATTGTGCAAGATAAACATAGTAAAACCCAATATAGTGAATTACGCCTCGCAGTAGTGTCATTGTACGACTTGAGATATATTCAGATAGGAGTCGGGATAGTTAAAGGTACCGTATGGATGTTATAGGAATAAAATAGAGTGCTACTAGGAAGACAGTAAAAATATCAGTTCAGAAGCAATCCTACAAGCGCATGGGCATGGAGGTAAGTAACTACGGATAATTATAGGCAAGGAAGGACATCAAAAGGTGTTTAATAAGCTTATAGCTTTACAAGAGTCAGAGGGTCCTCCCTAAGTACTACAATGAAAGAATAGCTGAGGAAGTAAGGAAGAACTCTTCAACCTAAGCATAGTAAGTTGAAGGAGAAATGGTCTTGTAATAGCAGTCTCACTACAATATCGTATGCACTCCATAAGAAAGTGGCACCTATCGTGGCTAATGAACGAGGAGTAAAATTAGGAGCGATATTCAAGATCATATGAGTTGTATGGAATTGCAATATGTGTGGGCACTAAGGTAAGCTAAGTATGCACGCAACAAGGGGCAGGAAGACTAGGAAAAGTAATTGCTTGCATTTAAGGAAAGTTGAGAAGGAATGAAAGGAATTATTCAATCAATGATCCAGAGATAATTACATTGTGAATGCACCTAAGATTTTGGAGTATTATCCATGCAGCATATATGCTGACAATTATACAGCCGTAGAAGACACCGATATAAGTTAAAAGAAAGAATTGAGCCCAGGGCATAAACAAAGGATTAAATTGTTAGAGGATTGTGTCCTGGGTATTCCATAGCGTCCATGAAGGGTTAAAGTAATAACTAATACCATGAGCCGCAGATCGGGATATAGCTTAAGACTACATAAAGGTTGATCAGAGGAAAGATGAACCTAAAGAGATACATCAACTAAGTGGATCAGGAAATGGATTATTGGACCCAAAAAATTATGGACATCGTGATTGAGAACATTGCAGAGTCACTCTTAATATTAGAGGTACAAGAGAGCCAATACAATATCCATATTTTATAACGGCTCTACGATAAAGCCAGTTAGAAGAACACCAGCCTCAAAAGAAGTCAGTATAAAGCTTTCATCGAATCATGTAAAAAGGTGTAAGTGTTATAATAGAAGTTCAAGTTGTGGATCTGAATTATACCTAATGGAAGGGAGGTCATGAAGGAGATAGAAGATGTGATGCAAGACTTTAAGGTAAGTAAGGTAAAGTGAACAACATACGAGATACTCAAAGGCAGAAGATTGTGAATAGTCCATACTTCAGATAGAAGGCTAGAAGCGTTGGGTTTCAGTATCCAGGAATGATAGTGGCGTCGTTAGTGGCGTACCTTCCAGCCTATGGTTTTTAAGTACCGAGAGATCTAGCCAAGGGAGTAAAGAAGAGTTAGAGACGATGTGATGTCTTGCTTGATATTCCAGAGTAACACAAGGAAATCTATCGTGCAAGCAAGTTGAAGGAAGGCTGCGAATAGTGTAAATAGATACTTATAGGTCACAAGCAAAAGTATAGTAAAGCGACAAGATTTAAAAAAGAAAGGAGTAAGGATAAGAAAAGGGCAAGTGAGAAGGTGACGAAAATGGATAAGTCCTTGGGATTAAGCCCATGAAAACAAGAGATCTAATGGTTTCTCTAAGTTATAGAAAGTTCAGTATAACCTAAATGAACTCAAAAGAGTCTAAGACTAATAGCATTTTGAAGAGATGGAATGCTGCCCTGATAGTAGAATGAGGGTCTAATTGTGATAGATAAAGGATGACGTTTGGACCTTCGATAGAGTAATGATTTGAAGAGTATTTCATGAATTCTAAGGGATTAAAATACCCACGTAAGGTGAATCACATTGGGATGCTATGAAATACGGTTATGGAAGTATAGTATCGTCCCTAAGTGGATCAGTCTAATTACTCAAGATGTCCCCGATGGGACATGAGCCCTAGCAGCAATGTATTACGTAAGAAGTTTCAAGTCTTCAAATGGTAGATTGTAGAACAACATTGAGGTGAATCACTAATGGATGGATACAATTTACAAAGTATGAGATAAGATTAGGCCATCAATCTTAAGATAAACAGTAATGAAGAAGCACTAAAGGACATAGATTTATACATATAGGATAAGCAATGAGAGTAACCTGGAGTTTGGTAGCATACCTCAGTAACGATTGATCGACGTAAGAGTTATGGTATAATTTGACCTACCTTGATGCAGTAAAGTCATACGGATGGATAACGGATCTGTGAAATAAGGTATAGCAATATTCAGAAGTTCAACAATGTACTGACCGAAGAACTTCAGTATACCTATAGATGCCCAGAGGGACATCTTATTAAGCTTTGTATATGTTTACAAGTGAGGCCTAGGGACTGGCTAAAAGCTGGAGGAAAAGGAGAAAAGAGTCGCATAGGCGCACTTATAAAGTCAGAGTCGTACAGGCTCCAGGACAGAAGGAAGCAACAGTTACGAGATCGAAGTAAGTTCGGGAATGAGATTATTTTGGTATTATAAATATTATGTTATTTCAAATAAGTGATAAGTAAATTCGTGAAGGTGAGAGGGTAAGCAAAGCGAAGAAAATAAGCGAAGTTTGGTAATTTGGGAAAAAAATGCGCTCCGAGCTATATTACCCGGTATTTATAGACTAGTGTCATACAAGGCTCCACATGACCATGATAGTATGATGTATAAAGTGTATTAAAATTGGGTAGTATTTTAAGTAATTTTAGATAATTGTTAATTAGGTGGGCATTGGTTGATTATTGATTAATTAGGGGTTAATTAATTAATTAAGAGATTAGTGATTAATAAATTAAGACTTGGATGAGTCCTAAATGAGGCACCAACGTGGTAGTCCCTCTTTTTCAATTTAGTGACTCTTAAGCCACACTTCAAGGTGGAAAAATATGGTGAACTAATGTCTTCGTCACCTTGCCAAAGTGGGGTCCACCCCTATAATAAAATGCCTCCAAAAATCACTTAGGGAGATGGATGAAATTCAGTAATGAATGGGATTTGAATTCTCATCAATTTCATATGAAACATTAGTGACGTGACATATGATTATTCAACAAGAATTCAAGAAATCAAACTCATAGCAACGTGATATTATTTTGGCAATTCTAAAGAAGCCCGGTATAATCTTTCTCAAGAATATCATGGATTTTTTCCTACTCCGATATTGCCGTCACGAATTTTGTCACAATTTCATGTGCTAGAAGGGTTGTCCAGAGAACCGGCTCAGGTATGTTAAGGCTATCCCTTCTTTCTTTTTGCATGATCTATACGACACAAACGAAACGATCAAATGCACAATTTCCATAAATGACTCTATTCGTAGAAATACTAGAGATACTAATGTTCTTGATTCCCCATATGTCTTATTATTCTATCATCTGTTCATGGGTCTCAGAAAAATACACATCTTGAAAAAAAGTTTACTTTATGATACTACTCAAGGCATAATGGTCTAATGACATTCTGAAAGATTTTATTGACGTACTTCTCATGCATTGCATTCATTTTTACATGTACGTTGACCCATGACCAGATGGCGTTATACACGCGTATATATGTATATTATATGTATATGGGATATGGGAAAAAGGTTACGGCGTTATATACGCACCACAACCTGATCAGCTGGTATACGTTGATGATTTGCCCACAATGGCCGAGATGATATGATGGGGCGCCCTCAGAGGCTTGATGATGTTATGAACACATGTACCTATGCACGACATGACATACATACGCATATGCATGACATTATGAGTATTTCATTATTTACAGAGTTATTCATAGTTACATGTTGAGTCTTTTACTCCATGTTTCTCTTATGTCTATTATTTAATGATTTTCATTCCTTACATAATCGGTACATTATTTTTATTGATGTCCCTTTTGATTGGGGATGCTGCGTTTCATGCCCGCAGGTCCTGATAGACAGGTCGAGAGTCCTCTAAGTAGGCTATCAGCTCAGCGGGAGATGTTGATGCACTCTATTGCTCCGGGTTGCTTATTTGGTGAGTATGATTAGGACATGTATTGATTAGTATGGCGGGGCCCTGTCCCGACCTTTATGACATTTATGTACTCTTAGAGGCTTGTATACATATGTCGTGTACGTGAAAGATTGTACGGCCATGACGGCATATGTTTAGTGTAGAAGTGATCATTTTGGTCTTATAGGCCAGTATGTCGAATATATAAGTTTGTATTCCCTCATGCTTTATTCCGGTTCATTTACCTATGATAGAATGATACGATAGATGCGTTACGTTGGTACTCGGTTAAGTAAGGTACCGGGTGCCCGTCGCGGCCCTTCGGTTTGCGTCTTGACAACCTTATTCAAGTCCTCATTTTCTACGCACATGCAAAGTTTATTGTTCTTATTAGGAACCACTACTACGTTAGCTAACCAGTCCGAATACTTTACCTCTCAGATCGATCCGATATCAAGTAGGCGAGTTACCACTTCTTTGAGGCATTTATTTCTAGCCTCGGCAATATGCCATTTTTTGTCTTACCGGAGGAATGCTGGGATCCAAGCTTAGCTTGTGTACGACCACTTCCATCGGGATATCTATCATAGCCGCATGCGACCACGCAAAACAATCGACATTAAACATAAAAAATTCAATAAATCCAGACGTGAGCTCGGGGTGCAGTCCTGTCCCCAAGTTGAATTTCCTTTTCGAGAACTTTTCAAACAATGGGACTTGTTCAAGATCTTCTGCTATGGAATTTATTGCATCCGTCTCTTCTGGTACCTAGAAATATCTTAGCACCTGATAAGATTCTGACGCCTCTTCCTCCTGGTTGAATTTACTAGATTCGGGAGAAGGTGTCGGTTCCTATAATTTCTATGACGCATGCTCCTTCCCTTTGCTACTGGAGACCGAATATGCATTCATCTCCCTTGCCGCTGGTTGATTGCCTTTTAATTGTTTAATCCCCTCAAGAGTTGGGAATTTCAGCAATTGATGATACGTTGATGGTATAACTTTCATCTCGTGCAACCGTGGTCTCCCCAAAATAATTTTGTAACCCATATCACTGTCCACAACCTCGAAAAGGGTTGTCTTCATTATCCCCTTGGCATTTGTGGGCAACGAGATCTCTCCCAGGGTTGTCACGCTTGCAAGGTTGAACCCGGCGAGGAGTTTTGCGATTAGAATGATGCTTCCGGTAAATTTGGCTTGCTCCAATACCCTCCATTGTATGATATTGGCCGAACTCCCTGGATCCACCAAAACACGTTTGATTTTAAAATCTAATGCAGTTAAAGAAATTACCAATGTGTCATTGTGCGGTAGCAATAATCCGTCTGCGTCTTCCTCCGTTAAAGTGATGTTGTCCTCATCGAACTCTCGGAGCCTCTTGCCGTGGGTTACTACTACCTTCATCTTTTTTGCTATCGAGAAGGTAACCCCGCCAATCTTGTTCCCCTTGACAATCATGTTAATCGTCTGGCGTGGGGGTCTTTTCCTACTTTTGAGGGTTTCGTGTTATCACGGTTGCGATCGGAATTGTTTCTGGCCCGGTCACTTAAGAATTCCCTGAGATAGCCCTTTTTCAGTAGTGACGCCACCTTTTCACGCTGATCTCAGTAGTCCCTAGTTCGAATGTCGTTCATCCCGCGGTATTCGCACCACAAATTAGGTCCCTATGGCTGGGGTTAAACCTCATTGGTTTTGGAAGTCGTGCTTCTTTAAATTTCGCCATAGCTGATACCAACTCTACTACACTGACGTTGAAGTTGTATTTTGAAAGCCAAGGATAGGAAGGATCTCTAGAACCTGATGCTTCCTTGTCCTGTAGAGATCTGTTGTTTCGGCCGCAGTCAGTTCTTCTATCATTGGCAAACCTGTCTGCCATCCGAAAACCTCTGCCGCTTCCTTCATCCCATTCATAATGCAAAAACTGGCCCCTCGAAGATCGTCTACATGTGTCGAAATCATCTTTTGATTTCTCTTTACTCTTCTCTCAACCGTTAACCGTTGCTGGGAAGTTGAGGAGATCATTCTCAATCCTTATCTTGGACTCGTATCGGTTGTGAACATCCACCCAAGTCGTTGCTTGGATCTCGAGCAAGCTTTCCTTCAATTTTCGGGAAGCATCATAACTTCTCTCATTCAAACCCTTGGTGAATGCTTCAACCGCCCATTCATCCGGAATGGCCGGGAGCAACATCCCTTCCTTCCGGAACTGGGTTACGAATTTCCGCAGCAACTCGGACTCTGATTGTGCAATTATGAATATATCAATCTTCCAGGCCTGCACCTTTTTGGACCGACATAGGCCTTAATGAAAGAATCCATGAGCATCTCAAAGAAATCTATGGAATGCTCGGGCAATAAAGAATACAACGTCAATGCTCCCCTCGTGAGAGTCTCTCAGAAGTTCTATTGCAAAACTGCTTCGATCTCGTCGGGAGCTAAATCGTTCCCTTTCATCGCCGTTGAATAGGTGGTAATATGCTACTGAGGGTCCGAAGTCCTATCATATATTGGCACACCGGGCATTTTAAACCGCTTCAGGATCAATTTTGGTGTCGCGCTTGGTATGTACGGCAGTCGAGTATACTTATTTGAGTCAAGGCCTTTTAGCACCGATGGTGCACCCGGTATTTGGTCCATGTGGATGTTTACTTCCCTCATAAATCGCAAGAGTTCACTTTTGTAGCAATCTCTCTAGTTGTTGTGACCGATCCGTTTCCCCTGGCCCCATCAAAACCGACCTCGCCCCTAGGGGTGTTGTTGTTGACGCATTGATTTGCTGGAGCACGGGAAGGAACCGGACCTCGTCTGTTTGCTTTATTGGAAGAACCCGATAATTCCTTCTTTAGTTCTGTCATAACCTTATCCTGGATTGTGAGATCGCCTAGGATGACCTCTTGTTGCTCCTGCAGGATCATCACCGCCTCAACGACATGTTCCTCTACCGTATCGCCAGGAGTCGTCTTGTTTCTCCCAAACGCACATGCAAGTATACGTGGTCGTACTAGTAATAAAATGATAAGTCAAGTGTCGAACCCATAGAGACTTGTATCAACTACCCACTAACTTCACCAAGATTGCTATTCAATCGAGCCAATTCGCGTTCAAGAGTGTAATTATACTAAATAATAATTATAAGTAGTAACAAAATTATCAAGCAGTAAAATGGTTGTTGTTTATTCAGTAGAGACAATATTCTAGGGTTGTGATTGATTCACCAATCCTATTATGTTCTAGTTAACTCTCCCTTTCATAAAATTCACTCATGGTTGCTAATTTATTGATAATTCCTCTCATAGCCTCCTCCCGAAGTTCTACTCGCCTATTCAAAATAGATTAACACCTATATTCCTATGAACCAATCTACTAAGAACGCATTAAGATTACGATATTTAATTAAGCACAGTGACTAGGTATATTCCTATCCTAACCACAAATCCTCCCCCTCAGAGTTAAGATCGTGCTCTCTTCAATTCTTATCTAATCTAAACCTGACTTTCCCAAGCATAGGATAGTAGTAAATAGAACCTAACTGTTGGCCAGACAATTAAGCAATCAATCACAGAATTGAAGAAGCAACCATATATTGGTAAATTATAATCAAGGTTAAGTCAATGTTAAACAATAATATTCATGGCTAAATAACAACCCTAGAACTATGGGTTTTAGCCACTCATGATAGTATCAAACAAATTCATAAGTGTTGGATAATTGAAAATACTAAGAAAAGATAAAGAAATATGAGATATCCTTGCTCCAGAATGTTTCCTATGTGTATTCTCTCTTCAAAGTGGAGTCTCCCCTCTAAAATTAAGCTTAGTCTTGATTTTATACGCGTTGGGTAGGTTTAGGGCCGAAATAATCTTGTCCCGGGAAAAGTTGGACACCCTTTTCGTCACCAGCGTCCAGCCCAGCTCCCCACGCTGGCGCTGGCGCTGGCTAATTGCGCACACTGTCTCTGGCACCACAGGTGGCATGGAGCGCTTGCCCGTGGCGCTGAAAATTCAACTTTTTCTTTTTTCGTCTGTTTTGGCTTTAATCTCGCACCTTTTGCCCTCAATTGCTTCCAGATGATTCCTACATATAAAAATACAGGCTAATTGCGCACACTGTCTCTGGCACCACAGGTGGCGTGGAGCTGCCTGTGGTGCTGAAAATTCAACTTTTTCTTTTTTCGTCTGTTTTGGCTTTAATCTCGCACCTTTTTCCCTCAATTGCTTCCAGAAGATTCCTACATATAAAAACACACCGGGTGTATATAATAAATCAATACATTTTACATCGAAATCCACGAAACACGAGTAAAACATGAGGTGATATACATACAAATATATATACTTTTAGCTAAATATCAACACCCCACACTTAGACTCGTGCTCGTCGTCGAGCAATGGGGCTAACAACTCTATCCCAACTATATACAAATCTCAACTATAGAGGAGCACTTTAGTTTTTTCAACCATACACTCTACCCTTGACTATGATCGAAACCGGCAATCAAGCGTGAACATACAAAATTCACATTCTTCCCGTTTTAAACATGACCAAGTATAACATTTCACTTCTATCAATTCAAACAACCTATTTGTAACCACCCAACCTCAAGAGTCGACTTGCTACCCCTAAGCACCCTCAACTCACGCACTCACCCAAGAAGAAAAGTTTACAGCATTACCAATCATTCATCGGATCATGTGCCCTCACCAACAATGAAAGAGTGAATATAAACTAGTCCACACATTCAAATATGCTTTTGAATAGAAATTAAGGACATCACACAATTGAACAAAATTCGCTAACTCTCACAACGAATTCATATGCATCCCGTGGTCGTACCATAAGCTTGCCTATACTGTACATCTCTACTAATCTAAGCTAGCCAAATCTAGGATCAATTGGGACTTTAAGGTTGTAATGTAGGCTAAGGACGGGTATGATTCATTTAGGAATAGAGGCTAACCCTCCTAAGCACTTTAATACACTACACTCACAATTCGAGCACATATTCTTTTCAACCAATTTGCTTGACACAACCCATACACAACATAGTCCTTACTTTCATGAAGCACTTCTATACTCCCACTTGCAAAAATTAATAAGATTTGGAGGTGTGCATTTCTCTACGCACTCCACACATTAATGTTCATCAGCTAGTGACTTTTGATTTCAACATTAGTGAACCAAAGGGACCTTCTAAGATTCCACTCAAAAGCGACTCGCCAAATCACTCACCTTACTTCTTTTAGCGACTAAATGTCTTAGGAGGTAAAGGTTCAACAATCTCAAATTAAGAACAAAATAGGGCTAAGGCTTGTGATGTGGGTGCCAAAGGAAAGGTCTTTAGGCTCAAAGGGGCTAGCAACGAAATTTTTTATTTTTATGTGACAAGCACATCTTTGATAAAGCAAGAAATGCATATTTCATCTCCTAGATTAGCACAAATTAACAATTTCACTTCGATTAACACACGGGGCAAGTTCTAGAGTTCGCAGGATAGCACAGAAGATCACCAATCCTCACACACACATTGCACATGACTCAATCAAGATGGTTTTGTTCAGCTCTCAAGTCAAGCAAGCTCACATAATTGAGAAAAATTAAGCAACATTACACTATGTGGCATACAAGTCAAACAATTGGGAAAAAGCATCACAAAATAGGCTATTTACTTTACTTAGACGTCACAATTCAACCCAAATGCACGTGAAGATAGAATGTATGTCATAGCCTAATATGTCAGCATCAACCACGTCAATGAGTATCTCAGAGCAACTCAGTTTCTTCCTAAACTACTCCTAAAAATAATAATAAAGTACCCCGTTCGAGCTACACCCTTGGAAAAGAACCGGCGTCCAAAGAAAAATCAAGGGATACTACCTAACTATTCTAAACAGAAAAAATCTTTTTGGAGATTTTAATCGGACTTTATCCCTCAAGAAAATCTTCCAAAAGATCCATCGTCGAGAAAAGTTTGAGCTTTTTCTAAAAAATATTCTTTTTGTATTTTTATATTTTTTTCTTTTGTTTTTCTTTCTTCCAAAACAAACTAAACTAAAAACTAGCCTAAGTAACACTAATAAAAGAAACAAATTGATACAAGATATACAACTACATCACAATTACTATTCCTCCCACCCCACACTTGATCTATGCATAGTCCCTAATGTATATAAACATGCAAAACAAGTAGGGTGAAAAAAAATTTCCCTGTCAGTCGGAGTCCTCCTCCTCAGCGTGCCCTCCATCCGCAGCTCCAAGCACATTATCATCAGGTCTTAGAAACACCAAAGTCGTGGGCTCCGTAACAACATCACCAACCTCGTCCTACGTGTTTGAGCCCTTGATAGTGTTTGCGCCCTCCAACGAGTGAACGGGGCTGCTAGGCGCAATCCCCAACATCTCTTTGGATGAGCTCGATAAGTCATTGCGTAAATGCATACGCTCCTCGTCTGAGATACCAG